AGGAACCAGGGCACAGGTTTTTCCTAATTTTAATAAAATACCCACAATGTTATTCAGGACAAAACCATCTCCTTTTGCTGTCTTTGGTCTCTGTCAAAGACCTGCTGGTTTGCCCAGGCAGGAATTGCTTTTAGTCTTGTCCATGTTGGGATTTGGGCTCCCAGTGGATGGCCAGCTCCCAAAATAAAGCCCCAGGGCAGCTGCTTGGCTGGCAGGGAGGAGCTGCTCCCACTTCAGCTCCCTCACCTGAGCCCTCAGCCCAGGTTGGGACAGGGAAGCAGCGACTCCAGCACAGGAGAAACTTCCCTGGGGACCATCCAAAGTGCAGGTTTGCAGGGCACAAGACCTTCCTATTTGTCTGTGTGCACCAGCATGGTCTGTGCAGTGCCCAGGCCAGTCCCTTTCCATGCTGGAACAGTCCAGAGACACGTGGGGAACTTCAATCCTGGGGGGGAGATGGTTCCAGGGACCTTCGGCTGCTAATCCAGGGCATCAAAAAAAACAAACAGAAAGGGCCTAAATTAAAGCAGTGACTTGTTCTCTCAGTCAGTCAGTGTCCAATGGGAAGATTTGCTGAGAAAGGCAGGATAACATTGTGATTTAACCCAGACTGACACAGGACACTGCCCAGGGACTAAGCCCAGCTCAGGGACTCCTGTTTGAAACCACACACAAGTCAAGGGAGGAAACACAGGAGCAGAAATAAAGCAAATATCCCAGAGGGGGGAGAGTCTTCCAAAGGAGCTACTAGGCCAGCTTGGCTGGGGCTTTGTCCTCCCAGCCCTGGCAGGGACTGTTTTCACTCCCTCACACCTGGAAGTTTTGGATGGGGCTTGGAGCCACCTGGGATGGTGGAAGGTGTCCCTGCCCATGGCGGGGGTGGCACTGGATGGGCTTTGAGGTCCTTCCAACCCAAACCATTCCATAATTCCCTGATTTTCCACTCCACACGAGCTCAGAGCTTTGCAGCCACACCAAGCACCTTGTTTGAAACATCCAGGGAAAGATCCTATGGCAGCAATTCCAGTAAATTAAATCCCAGTGCACTCAGTGCTGAGAAATGCTGAACAAGCTGAGGGGAAGGAAGGAGTGATGAGATTTGTAACTACTTAGTAGACACAGTAAGACAATTACAGTGCTGAAAGCTGCCCAGGCAGTCCTGCACATCAGGCTTAGTTTGCACAGGTCCATAAATAGGTAATTTGACTTGGGAAAGCACTTTGGGATGGCTTGGGGTTGGAAAGTGATATTGAAAAGAGAATCTGCGTGTAAATGTGGCTCAGTGCACTGCAGCACAAACAAATTCAACATGGTCACACTGCAGTGCAACAGGGAGGAGGCTTTAAATGCAGATTTGATGACCCTTCCACTGGTTTTTTGACTGGAAAATGCTGTTATGTCTAAGCAAAGAGTTCTGTGGCTGGAGCCCCTTCGTGGATATTCTGAGGAGAGGCTCAGTTCTGAGGCCACTTTAAAAGGTCACATGCAGGGAGAGAGCAGCCTAACAGACAATGTAATATATAACATTTAGAATGGCAAATCTAAAGTAAACTTCCAAAAGTCTTTTCATGGAGGATACTGAACAAGGAAGATGAATGAGGAAGATGAAAGGATGAACTGACACGTAATGGAGTAGCAAAGTCAGGTGCCAGTGATGGTAAAGGATTCTGCTTAAAAGATTTCTAAAATGCACCAAAATAGTCATTAAGGAGAACAGAAGGAATCTGTAAAAAATCCAAATATCATTCCAAGGTGCTTATCAACAAATTCAGGGACATGTTGTGTGTCAAGTGTGTGTTTAATGTGTTAAGAAAGGATCTTTACTATGACTTGATTAACCAGCTAAAGGTAAAACATTAACAAGGAACCAGCACTGCTTTAATTACTGACCTCTTGAACACGACATCTCCCTCAAATGAATGACTTGTAATTTATTCAAAGCATTTAATGATCACCAAGTGAGCTTTTACAGCCTATTAATAGATGACCTCCTAGAGCATGTGATCCAAAAACCCAGATAAGGAATACCTTGGGAACTCTGCTGTAACACTGTCTCAGGCTTGTCTGTTAATATTCAGGCCGTTTTTCCCTCCTCACATCCCAAAAAAGTGTAAAAGCAGAGGCTTGATCCAGACTCGCCGAGGAAATCAAGGGGCACTATTTTATTCTCTTTGGTACCAAGAGGGTTGGAGCAAAGACTGATAGAGAACATTATCACGCTCTGAGATGAAAAAGACATTTCAGTGCTCAGATGTCTCCTTTCAAAGGGAGAGAGAACCCCGGGAGAGGGAACTTATCACACGTGGAGCGGAGTCGGGAGGCCAGAGCGGGGAGGAGGGGATGGCTGAGTGGGGCTGTCCCAGGGTGATCCCATCAGGAGAGGCACCACAGCCCCATTAGAGGGTTCTGCCTGCACACAGCACAAAAGAGAATCTCTGACTCTTTGGAGAGGGAGGTTTTAAGGACGAGGTAGTTGTGTCCTGCAACTGCACCTCATCCTTGAGTCCACAGCACCTGCTCGACAGCAGCCTCCTGCTCCTACCCTGCTTGTGTGCCTGTTGCATTCCAAAATTTGGATGTGAGGAAAAGAAGAACTGCTAAGTTTAAACAAAAGTCTTGGGCTGACAGAGACTGGGGAAAAAACCTCCATCTAGAGTCCAGACAAGGATCCATTGAAGCCACGGGTTTGGAATGTCCTGCCCAAGCCTGGAGAAACCACGCTCTGATCTCATCAAGCCTGTGCAGAAGACCTTTTGTGTTTTATCTCTCCCCTTGTGTTACCCGTTCCCCCATGTAATCCCCCTAAGATAAAATGGGTTTTCCCCTATGATGTAAGTGCTAAGACCCAAAAGTTTGTAATTTAGGATTTCCCCTTTACCTCATCCCTGTAAGGTCCCTAATTGCAATAGTTCTGCCCCCTGGTGAATATGTAAACCCTGAACCCTTCAAATATGAACTTGTAAATCCAATAAACAATTCCAGCTTCTTGCCTCCCTGGGATGTCTCAGCATTATTGACCTCTGCATGTGCCCCTGCCCTGCCTATCACCTCGTGCCCACTGCTGCTCCCCCAGGGAGAAGAACCACAGGCAGGGCTGAGAGCAGAGCTGGGACCCCCACACCTGCATCCTTCTGTCCTTGGGGACACCCAACCCAGCTCAGCCTGTCCCCACCAGCAGCTGTGACATGCAGAACTCTTGCTGAGCCCAGCAGGGCTGAGGCAAAGCCTCATAGAATCATAGAATCATAGAATAATATAATCAGCTGGGTTGGAAGGGACCTCAGAGATCATCAAGTCCAACCCTTGATCCAACCCCGCCGTGGTTCCCAGCCCATGGCACTGATGCCACATCCAGTCTCACCTTAAAAACCTCCAGGGATGGAGAATCCACCCCTTCCCTGGGCAGCCCATTCCAATGGCTGAGCACCCTCTCTGCAAAGAAATTCTTCCTAATCTCCAACCTAACCCTCCCCTGGCACAGCTGAAGACCGAGCCCTCTTGTCTTGCTGATGGTTGCCTGGGAAAAGAGACCAACCCCCAGTTGGCTCCCCCCTCCTGTCAGGGAGTTGCAGAGAGTGAGGAGGTCTCCCCTGAGCCTCCTCTTCTCCAGGCTGAACAGCCCCAGCTCCCTCAGCCTCTCCTCACAGCACTTGTGCTCCAGTCCCTTCCCCAGCCTTGTTGCTCTTCTCTGCACCTGCTCCAGCCCCTCAATGTCCTTCCTGAGCTGAGGGCCCAGAACTGGACACAGCACTCCAGGGGTGGCCTCACCAGTGCTGAGTCCAGGGGCAGAATCACTTCCCTGGACCTGTTGGCCACACTGTTCCTGAGCCAGGCCAGGATCCATTGGCCTTCTTGGTCACTGGGCACACTCTGGCTTCGACACCCTTTAACCTGCTGTGCTGCCTCTCACCCTCTGCTCTGGGGGAGCTCAACAGCAAGAACTCCCTGCCAGGGCTCCAAACAACCTGCAGCAAGGTCCTCACACTGGTGCTGTCCTGTCGACACCAGCACCACCACTCCTGCCCCTGAGACTCCAGTCTGTGTCCTTGCTGCTTTTTTAATTAGAATTTCACTTCCAGCTTTAGCCTTTCTAATTAATTTGTTGTACCTCATTAATTTCCCCCGTAAACTTTTTTAACACCTCCTCTCCCCACATATTTTAGAGTCCAGCAATTAACTTCTCTCATCTCCTGTATCTCACTGCCACCTCTACCTGCTCACACTTTTGTTATTTAGGTGTTTTTAAATCATATTGGTTAGTTACTGACAGCCAGTGGCAGCGTGTGAATGATAGTCTCTCATTAATTAATAGTTTTACATTATGAAAAAAGAAGAGTATGAGCATCAAGAGGGAAAACCAGAGCACAGGAACTAAAAATACAGCTTTGACTGTCTAACTGTCAGTGGTGTGCTGATATATTTCTCTTAGTAGACAGCTAATTAAAAATGGGAGTTTAGAGGGAAATAAATGAGCAGCTGCTGTGTATTTTCATAGCAATCAAACCCGAGTTGCCCCGTGCCACACGTGAGGTCATGGGCACTGTTCCTCATGGCAGGATGAACGGGAGAGAATCCTGGAATATCCTGAGTTAGAAGGGAAACACAAGGATCATCCAAGTCCAGCTCCTGGCCCTGAACTCTGGATAGCCCAAGAATCCCTCCAGGAGCCTTTGGAGAGAAGGCTGGGAGAAGGAGGATGAGAAAACCCTGCTTGCTCAAAAAAATCATGGAATGGTTGGGGTTGGAAGGGACCTTAAAAATCATCCCATCCCCTGCCATGGGCAGGCACATGTTCCACTAGCCCAGGTTGCTCCAACCTGGCCTTGGACACTTCCAGGGAGGAATTCCTTCCCAACATCCCATCTAAACTAACCCAGGGTGCTGTGCCCTGCAGGGGAGGCTAAATGGGGACACCAGCTGGTCCCTGTGGCCTCGACATCCCTTCCCTGGGCCACTGAGACAGAGCCCTTGTCCTGGGATTCTGCAAGATCAACCCTCACCTTTAGCACTTCAGCTTCATTCCAGACCCATCAACCATTCCCTGGAGGAGGAGGGGACATGGAAAAGTGACCCAGACTCACCAGGCACCATGCTGTGTGTGAGAGGCTTCAGCAAAACTAAGATATAAGGAGATGAAGTAACTGAGACCTGCACTGACCTCACAGATACTCCCAGTTCCACGGGAGGAACCACTGGGACACTCAGTAATCCATGGATTGAGTCCCTCCTGTCCCATTCTGGCACCACAGACCACACCTGAACACACACATGGCAGCCAGAAAACCAGCCCCAAGTTATGGTAGAGAAGAATTAATTAACAAAAGCTCCATTAAGATAAAAACAAGGTGCTGGATTCAACCAGAGTTTACAAGGACATAAAATAATAAATTAACCAAGTTTGAAATGGAAATTGCACATGCTAATTACATGATTTATGTTACACAAATAATGAATTAATATTAATTATTTTCAGAGCTCTGGATTCCATTCTGAGTTATGGCAGCACAGTTCCTGTGCCAGAACAGCTTTCATCATTCCATCTTGGTCTGTTAAATCAACTTCCTTTAATATTCTTCTTCCTGTGACCACTCAGACTTACAAACTCTTCAGGAGAAGTAAATTTTAATTTGGTTTTTAATTTAAAGTGTTTAGAAAGCACCTTGAGACGATCTCAACAGAACCCATGCTGCAGTTTCAAAACCTGGGAGGTTTTGAAAATAGCTCCACTTTACTTTTTAGAGAAAGGCAATGAAGAGGGAAGCAATTCCCACAAAACCACAAGTACAGTGAGTCCTTCTGGATTTCATTATCACCTTATTGGCTCCACCTTCTCGTGGATTCCTGTTAATAGTCTGCCAATTTGATTATTGGGATAGATGTGCCATCTCCCCCTGATATTAAATCAGGATCCTTACAGTCCTTGGGATTCTGAGCCCTGGGAATGGCCGGGAGCAGCTCACCCAGCTGGGCAGAGCAAAAGCTCTGGAGCAGCAGCAGCACCATGGCCACAGTTTCCTGCTGCCAGGAGGAGAGGAAAGGCTCCCAAACTGGGATGTTTTGGTGCCTGACAGGGCAGTCAAGGGCCCTGCAAGATCCAGGCTGCAATGCAGAGCCCCCCATCACTGGAATTCCCAGGGAGGTGGACCCACCATCCCTGGAGGTGTCCAAGGAAGGCCTGGCCGTGGCTCTCAGCTCTCTGGGCTGGGTGGCAAGGTGGGCATGGGGCACAGGCTGGACTCCATGCTCTGGGAGGGCTTTTCCAACCTCTGTGATTCTGGGATCACAAGGAAAGTGTGAAAGGTGTGACATTTTCCAAATGACAACTCTCTCTTTGCTAAAACATGAGTATCAGTGGCCAACACTTGCTCAGTGCCCAGGGCAGGTACCAGGGCACCACAGCACCACAGCACCACAGCATGCCTGCTTTGAGCTGAGGGAGGTAAACCTGGCTGAGAAGGGTGATGCCTGGCAGAAAAAACAGAGAGAGAGAACAGGACAACAGAGCAAGCTGTGCTATCAGATGCCCGGTGCCCCAGGAGCAGTGGCAGTGATTCCTAAGGCAGTCTGGGAGTGTCAGAGTGTCCCTGTCACTGCGTGCTCCTGAGCTCAGCCACGTTCACTGCAGACAGAGCCCGGCTCTGGAACCCTCTGCTGAGGAGATGGAACGGGAGCTGACACTTTCTGTTCCTCTCTGAGTTAGCACAACTCCGAAATGAAATTTTCCATGACACTGCTGCCGTGATTTGGGAGGCAATTTTGTCAGGAGTGCAGGTGGAACAGGGGGTTTGGGGTTTTATGTAAGGAGGGGGGAGGGTGTGGGAGAGGCACATGGAACACACGAGTTGTTTGCAGTTCCAGCAGGAAAAAAGAGCCAGCCCGTTTTGCTCCAATAGTCAGTAAGGCAAGAACAAAATTCCAGAGCTTCCCATATGTTTCTTTCCAGGGAAAGCCCTAGTCCTGCCACCTCCCTACCCCTGAAGGAGGAGGGGACATGGAAAAGTGACCCAGACTCTCACCAGGCACCATGCTGTGTGTGAGAGGCTTCAGTAATACTAAGATATAAGAAGATGAAGTAACTGAGACCTGCACTGACCTCACAGATCCTCCCAGTTCCATGGGAGGAACCACTGGGACACTCAGTAATCCATGGATTGAGTCCCTCCTGTCCCATTCTGGCACCACAGACCACACCTGAACACACACATGGCAGCCAGAAAACCAGGCCCTGACAAGGCTCTGCTGAGGCACCGGGGCAGAGGGAATAGGAAAGGGAATATTTGGATTGCTCCTCTCAAAACCACTGTCCAAGAACAACACTTTCAGAGTCCCTTTTTGTGAGGAAAAATGGAAAACATCAGCATGGAATTTGTGTGTGGATCAGAGACTGCATCCTGTACCATCCCATTACTCTGGAATGCCAAGCTCCCCTCATCCCCCACTCATGGCATAGCCACACTGGGCCCTTCCAAAGCCAGGCTGGATGGGGCTTGGAGCAACCTGGGCTCTGGAAGGTGTCCCTGCCCATGGCAGGGGGGGCACTGGATGGGCTTTAAAGTCCCTCCCAACCCAAACCATTCTGTGTTTCAATGATTTTAAACAAACCAGACAGGAATGTGGACTGGATTCCCAGTTCTCCCGAAGCAGAGCAATCCCATGGACTTTGCTGGAGCTCTGGGAGTTTCAGCCACCTGAGAATGTTGGTGGTTTATATTTTTATTAGCTGGCACTTCCGTGTGAGCCTGTTTGGATTTGAAGATGTGCTGCCAGATGAGTTTTATTCCTGGTTGTGTTAGGTGGGATACTGGGAGGAAATTCCTCCCTGGGAGGGTCGGGAGGCCCTGGCACAGGTTGCCAAGAGAAGCTGTTGCTGCCCTTGGATCCCTGGAAGTGTCCAAGGCTGGGTTGGAGCAACCTGGGCTAGTGGAAGGTGTCCCTGCCCATGGCAGGGGGTGGCACTGGATGGGCTTTAAGGTCCCTCCCAACCCAAACCATTCCGGGATGCCGCAATTCTATGAAATAACTATTCCAATTAGATCATCCAAAAGGTCCATAAATCAGTTTTTCAGGTGAATACATAAGCCATAAACTCGAGCTCAAGTATCCCAGAACAACATATTCCTCACCAGGTCTGGGGAGTTCTGACTCCAACCCCCCATTCCTGGGGAGCTCACAATGAGTTTCTCTATAAATCCTGGAATGGTTTGGGTTGGAAGGGACCTTAAAGCCCATCCAGTGCCACCCCCTACCATGGGCAGGGGCACCTTCCACCACCCCAGGTTGCTCCAACCTGGCCTTGGACACTTCCAGGGATGGAGAGTCCACAACCTCTGTGGGCAACAAGCCCTTAAATAAGAAGCACATTTTAAGGATTCTGTTTTAATTTCTCTGCTTTGAAGAAGTGGCACCACAAGCTGGAAATGCTGCCTGGGCCTCAGGCCCTGCCTTTGTCTCTGGGGATCCTTGGACAGCTCAGTTCTTTCTTTGCTCCTTCAGTGCCTCAAAATAGGCACCAGAATCCTGGAATCATGGAATGAAAGAGTGGGTTGGGATGGAAGGGACCTTAAAAATCCCCCAGTGCCACCCCCTGCCATGGGCAGGGACACCTTCCACAGGCCCAGGTTGCTCCAACCTGGCCTTGGACACTTCAGGGATGGGGCAGCCACAGCTTCTCTGGGTAACCTGAGCTCCAGCATGACACAGAATCTCCACATTACAAGTCTAATACCTCCTTTTTCTGAGGATTAAAGTATTGTAGTAAAGACTACAAAAGAACATTTGCATGTACTCCAGCCCTCAAACTTGTGGGACTTTAATCTAGGAAGATTAGGCCTGTTCCACTTTGGATAGTTAATAAAACAGATGGAAAAAAAAAAAAAGCCCTAAGTAACCACTGCAGAGTTAATTTTCTCATTAAAAAGCTGTAATTTAAAATGCCTTTTTTCCCCTTTTGTAGGGTTTACAGGGATCCAGCCATGTGCTCATGGGATAGCTTTACAGATAAAAAAAAAATCCTGTAACCCGTGGGAGATTTATTTTGCTAAGGAAGAATGTAAATTTGGCAGAGAAAAGCAGAATCAGGATGATGTTGACAGCTGCCTGAAAAAAAAAAAAATAAACTATTGGTGGAAACCTAATTTTACCACTGGAAGCAGATTCTAGCAATGAGATGAATAACTGGGAAAACAATTTTCCATTAGAAACAGTTCCATGGGGTAGTTTTCAAGCAGCTGAAAGATATCTCCACATATATATGCATACATCCATAAATCAAGTCCCTTCAGACAAATAACAAGTAGGAAATTAAATCCAATCCCTTGTTACGTACACATCAGCATATATTGATAAATAGACACCAATGCTGTAAATATTTTGCTTCTGGTAAGGACTTTTGAGGAAAATATTTTCTGCTTGCATCTAAATTAGAGTAGAGGTAGATTTTACAAAGGAAAATGCCATTTTTTTAATGAGCACTTAATTTTAAAAGAGTTATTTCTCCTTAAAAATCAAACATAGGTTGGCTTAAAATATGTTTGTGCCTAAGAGTGGGGTTGTTGGGGTGTTTTAACCTTGATTTTTGCAGTCACAAAAGTACATCTGCTGACTCCTTACTGTTTAAACTAATTGATATCCATGTAAAGTCTGTTTAACAAGGAATGGGAGCAGCTGAAACTTTCCAGAAGGGAAACTCAGTGGATTTACAGAGCAGGTTACAACTCTGAGCAGCAGGAAAACACAGCTCCTCATCCAAAGGAAGTTTTGTGAGCAATTAATTAATTACATCAGTTCTCTAAAACTTGACTTCTCGACCTTCCCACATTAATTAGGTCTGGAGAGGGAATGACATGAGAGACTAAGGAAGGAAAAAGAGGGAAAAGAACCCACATTTTCTGAGTTTTTAGGAACACTGATTGTTAGAGTTTCCTCCTTCTGCCAGGAAGCCCTTTGGAAAAGGGCCTGGAGGGACAGGACAAGGGGGAATGGTTCTTATTGCCAGAGGGCAGGTTAGATGGGATATTGGGAAGGAATCCTTTCCTGTGAGGGCAGGTTAGATGGGATATTGGGAAGGAATTCCTCCCTGGGAGGGCAGGGAGGCCCTGGAATGG